TACCTTGATTTCATCATTCAAAACAACAGGGAAATCGAATGGCGAGTATAGAAATCAGTCCAACAGTCGCACAAATTGACAGAATTAAGTGACATGCTGTGTGGCACGAAGATTCTCAGTCAAACTGTAGGGAAGTGCCTGTAGCAAACGGCAAGAAATGCTGCACATATGTGCGTCACAGAATATTTAGCCTCTCTGAGAAAAAGCTGGATTGCTTTCGAATATGAGTGCTCAGATGGATATGTTGTGTCATCGAAATAGACTGTATATGAAATACGTTAATAAGCGGCGCGGTGGATGTGGCTTAACTGCAGAAAGTAGGCTTTCCAAACGCAGGCTTCGGTTTGGCCACTTTGAAAGTAGTCCTGGAGAGTGCTTAGGAAATGTGATCTGAACACTATTATCAGGAAAGAGAAGAAAGGGTAGATTAAAGATTGTAGGCGTCAAATTGCGGCGATGAGTGGCTGAATAGTTGACCAAAGACTGAGGGATTAAAAAAACTTGATCCGCATAGCAAACTTAGGTTATAGAGCATATGCTGAGAAGAATACGAAGAAGAAGCAAACAAAGAACTACTTCATTTCAGTAGTTATTGTTCAGATATGTGGTGAACTTTGAGTACATCGACAGTCATATTTTCGCGTGGGTGTAAACAAGGATGTCAGCGTGCTTCAGCTTCCCCATCTGTGTAATCGCCAACATCATCTTTGTTTATTTGCTGCTTATTTACAACTGTATGCAAGTGTTATGGAGCATCGGAAGATGCATTATTTGAAACAAAACTTTTCGTGAGTGATGGTCTCTTGTGAAATTGACGCGCTGTGAATTGCACTGATGAGGAATCATCTATCTGCATAACAGTTCTTATAATCTTTTTGAAATTTACATAAGTGACCAACTGTCCACGCCAGATTGTATCTCTGACGGGTGTAAACAACGGTAACTACATAGATGTGATGCACAAAGACGAGGAAGGCATCAAAAGTGAGAAATGGATTAGGCTGATATCTGGGCTGCATTACTGCGTTGCCTACAGGTCTGTCCTCTGGGAAGAGATATTCATGATAATCGCCTGTCGAAAATCAGATTGTCTGAAAATGAGGCGGTCGATGAAACATGTGCGCGCCATTCCGAAAGAACGCAAAATCTTTGCAAAATATGGCTGTCCCGATGTCCTCGCTGAAGCCACTGTTGTCATAGTGCTGGGAAGAGTTATTTCGCATTTCAGCATTTCTCTGACAGTTGTCGAAAGTTATCGATATAATTTTCATGGGGCAAGATAGCTGTTTTGGTCTAGTTCTCGGAACATTATACCAAGTCTCTTTCGTCAAGTTTCTCCATTTCTACTCTCAGATCATTTGTTTTTCGCTTCCTGCCACAACGGAGAAGACGGAAATTCAGAAGCAAGGCTGAATGAGTTTCGCATGTTATGCCGTTAGCTTTTCATGCCATGAAATTACACCGCATTTTAATATAAACGTAAAGGTCATCCCGTATTCCTGGGGTTGACGTTATGTTGCATAATTCTGAGCTGTGTTTTTAAGCGATCAGGTCTGTGCATGCTATGTTTATGTTTTCCTCGAAGCCGTCGTGTGAATCTTTGTTGTTCATGTGATACAGTTGATAGAAGAATCTTCATCTTCCATTGGCGGAGTAAATTGCATTATCGTTTTCTCCTTCTGTTTCTTTCTACTCACACTGCTCTCATGTTTGCTATCGTTGCCGTTACATGATTAACGGTAATACGTTCGTTTCAGAACTTGCAAAACGAAATGGGCATTCAACACGAGAATCTGAATTTCATTATTTCTGCCGCCGACGATTTCATCGGCGAACACCCGGAGAATTTTATCCGGTTTTCAGAAGAGCTGGTGAATATTGTACCACGGTATGTTCACCGTTCCTAAATTTTATATAATATGAGCTATGAGTAGACGGTCTTTATACGTTTTGTGGACTTGTTTTGCCCGTAAAGCAAATACCCAGATTTCCGCTGCGTTGAGTCACTTCATTTTCGTAAAGGTATTTTGATAAAACATGTCAAACGTAATTCGCTTAATCGAAGTCAAATTCTAAACCGTAAGAAGTTAGCATCGTCTTCATAATGTACGCGTAGTCAGTGAGAGACCGTTGCTCGAATCGTCGAAGAATGTCCACGGGTCACTGCTTGGGCGTGCTAGGGTCGAAACCCTGGAGCAGTAGTTTGAGTTCATGTTTTTTCTGTCTGGTTGTCCTTTTATATCCTGTCTGCTTGAAGCCAGTGAGACGTAGACCAGGAACGTTGCTCCAGTGTGAGCGGGTGCCTGCTTGTGAACCAGAGGCCACCATTTTCTTTGATGAGGCGAACTCAGTTTCCGACTGACTGAAGAATGGCAGCTACGTCCCAATCGCTGGGTGGTGATGGCCATCAGTCAGGATTGGATATTAATCTGCCGGAGCCTCATTAGCCGACCGTTTCGTTGTTCACGGCTACCATAGCGGCAAAAGGGAAGTATTCACCACTGTAATTCACCCTGCCGAACATGCCCTTACTTTGATTGTTGTTCGCTCCCGGCGATGTGGACGAGAGGATAGTTTCAAGAGAACAGTTTAGAAACGAGCATGTAGCTGCTTATTAATAGTCGATGTCTAGATTTTATTGAGGTCCGAGCCAGTGTCTTTTTTAGGATTTGTTGGGCTGGACTAATTATCCCTTTTTGACCTTCCTAAGCCAAAAGTTTTTTTCGTTACAGATGCTGTTCATGCAATTAGTACCTCGCCTCTGATTGGTCGCGGAACGAATTTAATCCGTGCTCTGTTGTAAATTATACTTAGCACTGCCCAATAACGTTTTTTTTGCTGACCGCCATTACTTTTCATTGCCTCCTTAACAGACCGTTGCGTGGTTTACGACTTCCTTTGTGTCAGTGGTGTGGCCTGAAAATATGATATTTTGGCCTACTTCTTTATATGAGTTATTTCATTTATTTTGTTGACTACCATTTTTCACCAACAGCACGGTAAAATATAATTTGCAAGAAAATCAAGGTTCGCTTGATCATGACTCGGAAACATATTTTGAATGTTCGTGCTTGGTTTCGAAGCAACAGTTTTCCAGCGATTCTTCAGGGAGCAGATTTTATTAGAGATTAGATCTAGATCTAGAGATTATTTGTTTCTTGACACACTGTGATTCATGGCGTGCTTCTTTTTAACGCATAGATGTTTTGGCTATGAAACTTAGCTGATTTTAAGAGGCAGTCTGAATACGGATTCATATGTTTCTGATGCGGAATTGAAATTCAGATTTATTTCCTTTGACGTTCATCGAAATAGAACGCGTTCCATTCAGTCAGAGAAAACGTCTGACGCAATAAACGGGAATGAGTGCAGTTTTGGGCATTAGTATCCACAGTGAAACGCTTTGATGATCATACCAAAGTTCCTTTCGTTCATAATTCTGCAGTCCTTTTGAGTCCGCGAGACTTCTATTTGTTCAGGGGCAGACGACTAAGAGAAAGTTTCAGGACGACGTTTTACCAGCATGGCAACCATGTCTGAATGCGTATGAGCTCGCTAGATACCAGCTGATGTGCTCCTCAAGCGAATCAGCATCATGACGCAATGCGACATAAATGCTACCTGTTTGAGTGGCTTAATCGATTAACCAACATGAAACTAATGTTGAAAATGTTTTTTCTGTTTAGGTGGAACGATATCGAACAAGTCCTGAACAATCAGCTAACAAGGTTGGAGAACGGGTTCGCGAAACTGCAGGACTGGAGCATGTGCGCGGTGGAGTTAGAAAAATGGATGAATCAAGTGACGCAGTTCATTCATTCAGAGAAGGCCGCCATGGGAAACATCGAAACTCTTAGGAAACAGTTGGAGCAGAGTCAGGTGATTAACTCACCATTGCCTGTCTTAAAGTCTGTTTTTAAAGCGCCATTTGATTTGTATGCTCACCCTGTTGCCGGCTGTCAGATTGAGTGAAGGGAATTTTATTTTAATCTTAAGCTCAGCTGTAAAGTAATATAGCCTTAAGTCTCACAACATCTCCTTTCTATAGCACTGAATCAACTTGTTATCGCTAGCTGCTCGTAGCAGTGTGCGGTGAATTCCGCGAATGACATTGTTACCCAAGAAAATGTTCTACCTGACTGATTGGCTGCAAAATGTCCCACATATTTATCATATTACCCGAGGAAAATCTGTGCAATATTATAAGATCTGCACTTTGTGGACAGAAAACGTCCGGTAATTACGTTGGGCCAATAGCATTCTCTCTGAAACACTACCGAATGTACTTTTTCCCGTCACAAAGGTAAGACAGGGGTTTGTTCTTGTTGAGGAATCGATCTTCCTAACACTTTCACAATGGGATCTTCTCTGTCGCCCTTCATATCATCAAGATAATGGCGGGGAGACGCTGATCTTCATCCACGTAC